TGCTCTGTTCTGCTTCTCTGGTCCTAAATTGTACTCTCCAGTCATCTCTTTTCCTCTCTTTTCCTCTGCTCCAATAATAAGTATCCCATCAACAACTGATGGGAACATTAACGGATCCTTACTTTAAGCAAAACTACGAGTGGAATATGCTAATATACTCAGAATGTATGGGCTGTTTGCCGGCTAATGTCCATCTGCCCCTCAAAAGAAGTGAAAACAACTCCCTCATACCTCAACTAGAGTGTTTAAAAGATATTAAGGCCTGGATTGCTTCTAACTTTTCAATCTGAATGAAGATAAAACTGAGGTCATTGTCTTTGGACCTAGTCGGGACGGTGATGTTCCTCTTTTGGACCTGGGTTCCTTACAACAAGATGTGAAATCTGTAGTCACGAATCTGGGTGTTAAAACAGACAATGATTTTAAACTTGACCAAAAGATAAATACTGTTAAATAATAATAATACTGTTTTTATCACTTGAGATCTGTTTTTATCTCGCAATCTTAGTGTAAACGTGGCTGCTTGTCTTTTAACTGGAACTTGCAAGTGTGAACACATCACACCTGTTCTGGCCTCGCTCCACTGGCTCCGGGTCCATTTTAGAAAACATTTTAAGGTCTTACTGTTTTTAAATCACTAAATGGGTTGGCACCTCGTTATATCTCAGACCTCTTACAAGTTTACACCCCCTCGAGGTCACTAAGATCCACTAATCAGCTCTGGCTGGTCACGCCTAAAACCAGGTTAATATACCCGGGGGCGACCACACGTTTTCAGCCACGCCCCCAGATTATGGAATGAGCGACCTCCACAGTTCAAAATGGCCCAAACTTTTGAATCTCACCTGGAAACTCACTTATATTCTCTGGCTTTTAACCCAGCTTGAGGGCTGTTGTTGCCTTTCAATTGTTTGTGAACCATTTTTTGTGTGTGTTTGTGTTCTGTGTGTTTTTATGTGTTTTATGTTTTATTCCTTTTGCAGCTCTGCAAACCCGTTTTATAAAAAGTGCTATATAAATACAATGGATTGGATTGGATATATATATATATTATATTCATTGCCCTTGTGTACAGGATGTGTTTGCTCGCTATTTCACACAGCTAGAATTAGAGTTAATAAAAGTGTCAAATATTTGCATGGCTTCCTTCCTGATTTTATCACAGTAAGAGACACCACTTCTCGCTCTCTCAGTCACTGACACCCAAAGGAAAATAAAAATGTTGCATCTCAAACAAAGAAGTCAGGCTCTTCTTTAAGATGAAAATCACTACTGTTTAATGTGCCAGTCAGACGTGGCTCTGTCATGTCAGACGTGGCTCTGACTGATACCAATCTGCTTACATTACATTTACTCATTTAGTTGACGCTTTTATCTAAAGCGACTTTCAATTGCTATATATGTCAGAGGTCACACGCTTATGGAGCAACTAGAGTTTCAGTGTCTTGCTCAGGGACACAGTGTTGGATATGTCGCAGTAGGAATTGAACCCACTAAGGTTAGCATCAGCCCCGATACCAATCCATCCAAAAGAAACCCAGATAAGAGCAAATAATAGAAAAAGTTGAGCTTCTTCCTTATACTCACCAAAGATATTCAGCTTCCTCTTCAACTCGTCTCTCTCTTCAGTCACGTTTTTGAAAATGGCCTCAAAGTCGATATCTGATGTCTCATCTTCAGAATTGTCTGAGAATGTAGAAACATTTTATTACTGTAGTTCAACACTGAGGTTATCTCAGGTTGCCATATTGAACTGTGCACAGTGGTACATAGCGTAGTAGGGCACCTCGTCACAGAATCATTTAGCCATTTGACAAAACATTTTTCTTATGTTTCTTATTACTGTTATAGAATAATTTAAAATAATTTTACGTCTATTACACTTGAAAAGAATATGTTAATATTTTAACGTACAATAAAGACTATGATATCAATTTTAGCTTTGCTCGTATATTTTTTCTCATTTGTTCTTTGTTTTGGAATAATGTGTTTCATGGTCAGCTTGTTCCATGAGATTTATAAATACCACCTGGTCTGTCCCAATTAACAATCATCACTTCAAATGAATAACTATCATTATTGTTGATAGTGAAAATAGATAAACATGTCTGTAGTCTAGTGTTTGCGTCTTTGTTCACAACATCCCTTAAAGTAATATAAAGGAAATTTAACCTTTGTACAATAAAGCTCAAGTAAACATATGAGAGGGAGACTTAGTTTATGCTTTATGTTTTTTGTTAAATTGATTTTGCGAATGTGTTCAAAGTCCATTGTATACAGTTAGATATAATCTCTCCCACTTCTCTGCTTCTCTGTCAGATACAGTATTAAATGTAACATTATTATTAGAGTACGACTACTAGTATGGTCATAGATGGTGAAATTAAATGTGCAACACAAAGTGAAAGTAGAGACACAATTTAACTCACAGACAGCCAGACGCATTGAAATGTTGAGGGTAGCTTGTAAGATGCACAGGAGTCCAAAGCTCACAGCCACAAGTCTATATGGTTTTCCTCCTGTGTGCAGAAATCATCACAATGTCTATTATATGGAGCAAGACCCTATCAAAGCAGTTTCATGTCACTTCTTCACTCCGCACGATCCATGATGATAGAGAAATATAGAGAATAATGTCAATAAAGCATGCGGTAAATATTTTAGAGAACCCCCAAAATATCACAAATCATGCTTTCAGGGGGGAGCTGATGTCTTATTAAGGAGAACTAAGCTCACCCTGGCTCCCCTGTAGTTCGCACCCTGAGTGTGATACAATATACTCATCTTTAAATTATGAGGCTACTGGTTTCTTTGAATAAAACCTGATTCGGCTGCAAATCTCCACACAAGTTGAATGTGGCTTTCACATTCTTCACCAAGCAAATACAAGTGACAACAACACATTCTTGAACAAATGGTATCAAGATAACCAAGTCCTTACAATCCTTTCAATTCTCTAATTTCAAAGAATTTTTTTAAAGATCTTCTTAAACAAGAAGCTTCAACTGAGCAAAAACAAAGATGGAAGGAAAATTCAATCCTTGAGACTTTGTACTTTATGTATATTCTTACCTAGAGGTCTTTTTTGAATGTTGAAAGTTCCAACGTCCTCATAAAAGTCACAGCCATATATTTTCACTGACATGTTCAGATACAAGCCTTGAAGTGGCCCTAGGGAAATTTTTTGCTTCCACCCTTAAATGACTACAGACAGTGTATTGCCTTGTTGCATTTGCTATGATGGTGCGTCTTCCTCTACAAACCACCAAAGTGGTTTGTAGTGTGTAAGGTGTAGTGTAATCACCACGTTTTTGTTTTCAGTCCATAATTTGATAACTTGCAACTTGAGTCACTTGTCTGAAAATATAACCTCTGTTTTTAGAGAATTGAAGCTTGTAAAAGTGTTCTCATGACACAAGTTAAGATTCTCAGTAACTAAATAACACATGGAAGTTGGATTTGTGTATATAGGCCTAAGTGTAAAGAAAAATACAAGGGTATGTGGTGTCCGAACGATAATGCTGCGATGATGTGTTGAGAAGAAATCCGCTTGACACTGTTCTTGATTATAAAAGTTTATTACATCAAAGAATTCAGCATCAATTACAAGCTCTGCAGCAGCTTGGAGAGTGACCCAGCCCGATGACCACTCTGTCTCTCTGTACATTGAACACAGCTTATATAGGACATGTTTAGGTCTCTGCTAAAAACCATATAAGGGCACAGTGCTGTAGAATAAGTGTAACCCATCTGTTAGACACCACTTCCCCTAACCCTGCACCCATCAATCATCACTTCCCCTAACACTGGGTCCACTGTGTCTCTCTCCAGCTCTGGGTCAGGGGTCAAATTCTATAGGAGGGTTCACTCTTGGTACACCCATCAATCATTACTTCCCCATAAGGGTTCACTGTTCCTCTCACCAGCTGCAGAGCATTATGTTAAACTGTAATGGTCAAATGCATATATGTTATACACCACAGGTAAAACAACAATATAATACATTTATTTACATGGCCCTTTCAAGCAAGAAATACAAAAGAAGAGAAAATCAAATGCAAAAAAAGACAAACAAGTACACCATAAAAGTAGTAACAACAATATTTAGACCCAAAGAAATAAAACCACATCTGTATCACCAGATTAGCCTAGCATGCTAATACTACATAAACAATATCTGACTACTGCAGGGAGGGGGGGGAATCATAGCACCCAAAGAAATACATTTCACAGTGAAAGGCGCGGCAAGTCCTAAAAAATAATGGCAATACACCTTGTTTGTACCTGCCTCTATAAAACATCACATATGATCTGATCTGCAGGGTGACATAATTTGCCTGTGACTTCAAAAACTTTTACAAATCACTGTTGAAAATGTATCTTCTTATCATTTGGTAACAATATGGTTTAAGTTTGGCTAGGTTTAGGCCCAGAAACAACTTAGGTATGTTTAGGGAAAGATCATGGTATGGTTTAAGGCAAGTCATGTCATCATGAAAATTAAACACAGTTACCAGAGCTTACCCATGGAGTTGGAATATCAGAAAAAACAATACATGGGCATGCAGTTTTAGAAAGAATTTGGATTGTTTGCCTTAAACCTGCAATCAACGATATGTTGGGGCCAGTGGAAAGAAGCTGTGAATTCAACATTGGTGTTTCAGCAACCTTTCACACAACAAAGTTGACATGGCAAGCTTATTGGCAAACAGTTTCTTATTTACACATCCAGCAGTGAAGGAGCAACATTATGATTCATTTGTAGTCGTGTTTCTGGCCACCTCTTTATCTCTGTTTTTGTTCTTTATCAACTTCTAAGGTAAATATCTGGCTCTTTAGCTGCTAAAAGCTCCACTATGTTCACCAACTAGTCATTAACTGTGTCTGTCTGATGTTGATTTTTAGAGCGTTTTTGCTAATAGCTAATAGCTAAACTTTGTCAAAAAATAGTCCATTAGCTTTCTACTATAGTCAATAACTCTGCAGACAAAAAACAAGAGTTGGTGCAAAAAGAGTTTATTCCAAAACAATGGTAATTAAACATGTAGTCTTAATATCAGCAGAATGACACCTCGGCAATTCATCATGTTATAACAACAGTGGATATCAGTAGACCCAAGCATGCACTTGTTACAGCAGACACCTGCAGCCTCCCATGCTGTCATAAAGCCACAGTAGATAACAGTTGACCAAGGTATGCATAGTCTAAGTGTCTACGGTCAATGCTCCCACTCAGGGATCTTCACTTTGTTACTGCATTCATGATTACAGCACAGCACTTTTAAGTAGAAAATAAGACACATTTCGGAAATGTTCAAAGATTAAGAGGTAACTAAGTATAATTAATAAGCTAATAATGATTAATAAACTAACTACTAATGATTAATGATTAATGCTAATTAAGGATAATAAAATGATTAAAACCTCACTTTGTGGAATAAGCTGGTGTCTTTTGTGCTGTGTGCTAAAGACATTCCTACTGTGATGGACTATGTTTATGTATATTTTGTAACCCAATTTTCACTAATTCTGCTTCTACATTTTAACTTTTCTGGTGTTTTTATGATGTCATGCTGTGCTCATTCACTCTGCTCCCAGAGCACACGTGCCTGCTAACACACACATGTGCTACTGTTACTGCCTCCGGGCAGTTAGACACAGAGAGGACCACACACACTCAGAGCTATAGAGTTTCAACGTTGTGATCTTAACTTTACACTATAAAATAACTCTTTAAATGGTGACAAGAGCTTTAGAGTTTTGACACTGTGATCCCAACTTTTACACTCTAAAATAATACTTTAAATGATGAACACTGCACTTAATGAAATGATGGCAATACAATTAATGACAACAATTTAGGCTGTAATGTTCTAAATAATTTGTGAGCCATCGGTCTGACCACTCTAATTAAGGCTTGGACCACCCCAAAAGAGGCTAAAACAAAAGTTTAGGGGGGTCTTTCTTATCTATAATTGTAAATATTACAATATATTTCCCATACTCATGCCTTATATTTAAGACACCCCAAAATGGACCATACTATTTCCTAACATTGACATTAGTTGAACGTCAGTCTGCATCACTCCCAGTGGTAGTTGCTCCAGTTCAGTGTATCACACACTAATGGAGCAATTGCTGGTTAATGTCAGGAGTTAACTATCTAGCTGCTTTAATACATTTATCTTTCCTACCTTCAGAGTTTCGTAATTTGCATTTCTTTTACTTAAAATGAGCTATCTGATGTTAGCTAGCTAAGACCCCACCCTATCATTTCATTATAACAATGTCATTTCAAATTTTATGTAATTGTCATCTAACACTGGTGTTTAGGCATGAGCAGTGAAATTGGGGATTAGTTATTGTAGAGATACATTTTAACCATGATAAAGAGTTTCTTATTTCATTTGAAGTCTTTCACAATAATAATGGCATTTGTTTTAACTCTGCAATTCCCAAAAATTCCCAATTCCCAATTCAGTGTATGACCACTGCTTTAGTGGACGCAGATTATATCATTCACAGTCAACATGAGCCCGAGGAAAGGAGATATTTGCTAAAAAGAGTAAGTTGCTACTTTAAACTTATAATAATAAGAATTAGGAATTAGAAATGATAATGCAGACTATGTTTTATGATAGTGTCTTTGCTTCTAGTTCAGCATTGTATGGGTCTGTTTTGAGCAGTTATGATGTTGTGCTGTTGTGTGTGTGACTTGCTGGCAGTTTTGCTCTAGAATACTTGGTGACCCCTAACTACAATAGTTGTCGTGTGGTATGGGTCACCCACGAACTGGTACAATGAATTTGATTAATCATCATCTGCAGAATGCAGAAGTTAGATAAATTAGCAAGGATATAGTAAGCATTGTAAGATTTAAGAAAACAACTAAACTTTGAGTTTAGTTAAACAGATACATAATGTAATAGATCCTGCAGAACCGGTGGTTTAACCTGCTGAGACTAATCACACGTCTGTCACATTTTTGTCATGACAACTAATAGACAATTACATTTGTTAGGAAATGATTCAAAGTAATGGTAATACAGTACAGTAGTTTTATTGTTTTCTACAACCAAAACACTTTGCTTGTGTTTCAGTTCTATCTTTACAGATTAGCTGAAAATTGTTACCATATCTTCATGTCTTCTGAATACAGTAGCTGTCATGTTGGTGTGTACACTAAGTTATAGAGCCATTTTCTTTTCGCAGATCCAGAAGTTTTGATTTTCACATACAACATCATTCCAGCTATTATCATCGTTATAGTACCATGTTTCTACACAGTCTTCATTTCTGCCAATGTAATTGTTAGGTTCTCCAGGGTACCAGAAGCTTTTAACAAAGAATGCAAACCAACAAGCATTTAATGAACAGCAACAGTTAAAGTTCAAACAACAATATAAAATCCCAATTTCAGTCATTTAATTAAAATTCTACTCAAGTACTATCATTCTTTGAAACAAGCTTAAACACCATTAGTTTCAATACAAAGACTGATTTAATTTGAATTTTTAATAATACATTTGAATAATGTGTATACCTTGTTGTCAGCAAAGTCCTATCCACCCATTCCCATCTCGCCTCTGTCTCTCTGTCAGTCAGTCCAATCCACATTATCTTTTCAAATTGTCTTGTGAATACCTTTTTTTTTAAAGAGAGAGAAATATACAGTAATCAACTAATATTTAACTTATGTCCACCCTCAGTGCCCTTGTATTCATTTAATATTTGAATCTTCCACTAATCTGTGTCACGATTTACAGAACGAGTGCAAGCAAGAGTGTGAGCCCAAACGCAAGACACCAAGGCAGAGATTCATTTCAGGGGATTTAATCCAAAAGAAGCAGAATATCAGGCTTACAGGTAGTTGACTGGTATCCAAAAACAACAGGAGAAACAGCAACAGACAGAAATCTACACATACAACATAATAGAGCGTATACACACTATAATGACGAGACAAAGACTGAGGGGAAACAAGCAAGCATATATACACAGGGTTAACCAGCTGGGTGGGGATACACAGGTGAGAGACATGAGACTAACGAGACACAGGCAGACAGAGAGAGCAGGGGAAAACAGAGAGACTAGCAGGCAGGCAGATTACTGAGGGGGGAAAAGACATAACACAAGTTACTCAACACTAAACATATCAGAGTAATATAAATAAAATAATAGAAGCAGACAGATCACAAATAAACTAACACCAACAAGGAACACAGATAGAAGCTAAGGTAAAACAGAACTCAGAGCAGACGTGGGTAAAACAACACAGAAGTACACAGACCAGGAGTAAACACTTAAGACATGAACTAAAAGTACAGGACTAAGAACTAAGACACCAAACTAGGAACTAAGATACGAGACAAGACAGATACTAAGTAACTTAAAGATGCGGATGAATAATAATAATAAAGGCTACACAGAGACTAAAGCAGAATGATCAAAATCAGATTAATTAATGAAACTGGCAGAGAACATAAATAGACACCTAGCAAACAGACAGAACTCAAGCATGATGGTACAGAAACTAATACATGAGACTGGAACAGGACTATAATCAGGAAAATACCAAAACACCACTAAACACCAGCTGACAGATAATAACCAGATGAACTATAACATCAGGTAGAGGTCGCACACTAAAGGTAGCGAGCAAACTAAAAACTAAGTCTAAACTAACAGCACAGCAAAACTGATTCTAACTAATAAGACAGGGTGGCTAAGGGAGACAAGATAACAGAACAACACAGACCACGAAGACTGGATACAAGACCACAGAGTATATAACAGATACCCAACTGATAAATCAATAAACTCAGAGAATTAAACAGAGCAGATGACAGGACTAACATGCAGAAAACCAAACCCTCAGAATCAAAACCCCAAAACACAGCTCTCAGGACACATACCTGTCTCAAACACTGTTTCATACAGTGCATTTATAAACACACAAACACACACACACACACACACACACACACACACACACACACACACACACACACACCTGTTCTTCTTTGCTGTTGATAATTATCAAGTCTGCACCTCTATGCAGACAGTCATCTCTACTGCCTTGCCAGGTTTTCTTGATTGAAGAAATGTAATAGAAACTATCACTGAAATACACCCATCCTTGCTGAGCATAGTTAGCTGTTGATAAAAGAAAGAATAAAAATATCTGAATATTCGACAAACAAAGCCAAGAAAGAAAAAATCTGTAGAAAAACTACCAGTACTACTTGGTTGATCACAGATTTACTTAACATAAAGCAAATAATTCCTGTTGCAATAAATACTTTACTAATGATTTAGTAAACTGAAAACAGTGGATTCAGTGTTATTACTCTCAGTAAAATATGATTGCATGCACAACTTCATAATCCTTTTAGGTATTTTGCAATGCCCCTTATCTGAACAAATGTGTATTTTCACTTAAGATACTGGACTGTTTGAACTTTTTATTTGCACTGTATCTGTCCTTTTGGCACAGTGTGACAACTTCCCCAGTCTGCCTGCCTGTATGTCTTCTCTGTTTTGCAGATTCTGGGTGTGGTTTGTAGGTAGAGCTGGGAGGGTCCAATGCGTCTACCTGCCCATCTGTGTTGGGCTTCCTAGAGGGCATAAAAGGGCTGCCTTTCTGGGAGTCTGTCTCTCTGCTGGCCTGCTGCTTCAACCCCAGCCTTTGTTCCTTTGTTTAATTTGCTGCACCCACCAACATGCATTACACTTCATTCTCACTCATCCACACACTTCTGACATGACTGATGTTCTTTATATCTACCCACGCCATTAACTTAGTTAAGTTGTTTGTTAGTTTGAGTTAAATAAACCACTTTTGTTCCTATTATCTGTGTGAGGCCTCCCTTTTTGTTGCCAGCCTTGTGCCAGGTGGTAACAACAGCTATAGCATTGCTACTTGTAATAAATTATATTGTTAATGTCATCCACATTGTAATGTTTCTATGCAGATCACACAATTTTAGATGTGACCAACTTTTCTCTAAATCTGGCCACTGCAAACCTATAGTCTAAACCCCAGTCCTGTGATCAGTGGACCTGTTCTACCCTCTGAGCCACAGCCACACCAACCTGAATTTATTTCAACTACTGTTTTGTGTGTGTTTGTTGTGAAAGATTGTGTGTTCTGTCTACGCTCACACGTCATGTTTTCTTCCCAATGGGATTACTGTGCCTGTTTAAAGGATTAAAAAAATACTAAAATTAAAAAAGTCACTCAATTTTTACACTCCTTTGGATACCTGATTATTGGTATGAGTCCATTCTCACACTTACCAAAATCATTCAGCTTCCTCTTCAACTCATCTCTCTCTCTAGTCAAAGAATTCTGCTGTGAAGCTGCCATTTAAAGAGAAACCATAAAATGATCTTCACACTAATAAAATATATATTTAAATGAAGGACAAAAGGGGCATAGCATGTATCAAATAGTCACACAAATTACCCAAACACCCCTTTGGATCTCTGATTACTGGAATTAATAAATGTATCCTCATTCTTACCATAATCATTCAGCTGCCTCTTCAGCTCTTCTCTCTCTTCAGTCAGGGAATTCTGCTGGAAAGCTGCCATTTAAAGAGAAACCATAAAGTGATCTTCACACTGATAAAATATATATTTAAATGAAGGACAAAAGGGGCATAGCATGTATCAAATAGTCACACAAATTACCCAAACACCCCTTTGGATCTCTGATTACTGGAATTAATAAATGTATCCTCATTCTTACCATAATCATTCAGCTGCCTCTTCAGCTCTTCTCTCTCTTCAGTCAGGGAATTCTGCTGGAAAGCTGCCATTTTGAGTAGAGGTTACCATAATTTGCAACAGAATCAGAGAATGTCCATGACAAATCACTAATCAAACAGAATTTCCATTTCCCATTAATTTTTAGGTATACTTTGTTTGATATTCTACAGAAAATTTTCTACAGAAAACACTCATACAGCAACACACCATAGATCTGTGACTTTATACAGTATGTACTGGACTATAAGAATGTTTACAGGCTGAAAAGTGTTATATATAATATATGATATTAAATATAAAGTATTATTCAAACTGTAATGTCATATTCTATTACAGTATGACATTTGTTTTCTTTTCAACATGACAGTCACCACAAGTGATTCTGCAATTATGCTTGTGTTTTGTTTTGTATCTTCTTCCAAATGTTAGCCTAGCACAAATTCTTTTGCAATGCATTGAATATTACTGAATTAAAGTACCATGTATCACACAGGATAATACAATGTTGGTAGTGACAAGTTTTATAATAATAATAAATTATATATATATTATAAATTAAAGACAACTCACAGAGAGCAAGGCGCAGGGAAATGTTAAGAGCCGCTTGTAGGATACACAACAGACAAAAGCTCACGGCAATGCATCTATGCAGTTTTCCACCTGTGTCCAGAAAACACACACATTTATTTCAAGTCTGAAGTAATTATTTCAAATCTTTTTGTTGCACTTCTTGAACACGGCACTTTGTGATTAAAGATGTGTTAACTACAATTGTAAATTTGTATTCTTAAATTGTAATCTGTTTCCAGTTTGGAGCCACAAGCAACATTTTGTGGCTGCCTCTGTTTATCATGGTGAATCCACAAATATGAAATTGTTAAAAAACAAAACGAACCTTATCAGTATCTCAGTATCCTAATGTTTAAATATACTGCAAAGATGAGTATGCATCACAAAGTTGGCATGTAAAGACTATTTTGGATCCCTAAGAAAACGGTTATACACAAGATGACATATCATGCCTGCAGAAGAAGACGGATAAACTCCGTGCTTAACTGAGAGAAGATCACCATTGTGTTCTACCTTTTCAAACTTACGTCGACTTTACTGATGCCTGTTGCTGCCACCGAAGTATCAGCTGTGCCGTTGAAACTACCGGAATCGTCAGATCCAAGCCGAGAGGAAACTCCGCTGGATTTCCTAAAAGGACTGACGCATCTACTCGCTAACAAAGTGACACGTAAGGGGCTTTAGTATGTCTGGGCAGCAGATAGTTCTATAACTTTGTTATTGTAACTTACTTGTTCAAGGTTCATGAGGTAAATTTCTGTTAAGAACTCCAAAGGATATTCAAAGACTGCCGTGTCTTGTTTTATTGCTGTGTGTTTCCGTGCTACGCACGTTGTTTGTGTCTGGTACCACCCGCTGGGCCGTGACCGCTTTGTTCCTATTACTGTGTGAAAACGTGTCAGTATTTTTATCAAGCTAAGGAACACAGTTGCTGAATGAAAGTTCCCTACCGTTCCACTCATTGATAAAGTTGTAGCTGAGTATTTACAACAGTAATTATGATTTTTGGTGTTTGTTTCTGTTCTCTGAGAACAGATACAATTGCCCATTCCATCTAATCCAAAGCCAGCAACCGCTGCTGAATGAACATTCACTGCTGGTGGCTATACGATAGTTGGTGGTATGTAGCTTGTATGTAGCTTTCTCTGTGCCTTTCTCTCCTCCTTCTGCTTACTAACTCCACATGCACACACCACGGGACCTCTGCAGATAACCAGACCTGTGACCCACAGCGGGCTAGTATCAGAGTGCGTCTCCATTTTTGTAGTTCAGGGGAAAGACATTTTTCCGCCATCTTGATCCTGAAATCACATGTTTTGAACCACCATTTTAATTCCAAAATCAGCCGGCCTCAAGCCCATTTTGAACCAGATCTGCGACCACCCACATGGTTGGATCCACCGCCCCCTCCTTTGTCTCTCACACACACACACACACCTACACACATGCTTGCTAGTTTGTTGTATGTTTCTGTATGATTTTTTTTATTGGCTTTATTTAATTTTGCTTAGAATAGTTCATAGTGATTTACTTGCTGTTATTGTTACTGTTTACTGTTTGCCATCTTTAGTGGACAAACCCTCTTTTAGACTGATCATATTTGGCTCATATTTGGTTATTGGTCCCTGGGTGGTGCCCCGTATTTATTAACTATAATTAATAATTTTCAATATTGGTTTTATTTTGTTAGTTTTATTAATAATTCTAGAATATATTTGATATTCAGCTGATAACCAAACCTGAACCCCAGGTTGAAAACTCCAACAGCTACATCCTGCATCACTATGAGTGGTGGAATCAGAGGGAAAGTCCTAGAGGGAGGTCCTAGTGCATCCTGACACAATGGACTGGTATGTTCTGAAAGATGGAACAAGAGTTGCCATTGATTTCCAACACTGTAGTGGAAGTTGTGGACAAACCTAGAACAAGTGCACAGGGAGGCTGCTGTAGAGGAAGAAAGCAGGAAAAGCTAAACATGACAGTTGTTTGTTAAAACTTTTATAAAACGTTTTCGTTCTTCTGTTTTGTTTGTGTTTTGGAAGAAGACAGAAAAGGAAGTGATTGGGTCAGGTGTTCCACAGTGCTATGCTCCTAGAAAATGTGTTCGTCACTGCATTTCACCAGTTCAGTGTAGTTTGTTTATTTTTGTCACCGTGGCAACCTAGGACCAGTGTATGCTGGGAAACGAAAAGAATACTGCCATGTGGTGATCTGCTACAGTCATGTGTGAGCTCTCCCAGCTTCTGAGTTGATTGCTCTTCATTCTCCCTCTTTGCTTAGGCAACGTCTGTAAGTATTTTTCATTGTGTAACGTTATCACCTATTTTGAGTTTCTAAGAATATTGTGGTGGCTAAGACGCTAATTAGTTTACGCTAGGCTAAGTTAGCTTTATGTTTCATTGCTGCTAGCTCGGTTGTGCTTCATTTTATAAGCTACACAGCTACGTTAGCTAAGCAGTGCTGCTTACCTTCATACGGTGTGTTTAGCTTCTTTAACGATATAAACATCTCATTGTGCTGTTACAGTTTCACAAGATTCCCAGTAACCTTTATGGAAGTGAATCACCTGTGTCCTGGAGTTTCTTGGGAGTGTTTAAACTAAATGGAAATGTAGCCCATGACACACAGACCAATGAGCCTATCATCAACAAGGAACCACGTGCAAGGAGCCTGCCGCTACAATAAATGCAAGCATCATCTGACATCTGTCATCATCACTGTCCTCTCACTCAAAAGGAACCAAGCAGAAGCTTTGCATAATGGTGGTGCAAGTCAATAATATGTAGTAGAACCAGAAATGGTTCATCTGGTGCTGCAGCCCTGGAAGGAAAAGGCAACTTCCCAGCACTGATCCCAATTGCTGCAAAAGCAAGTCCATTGGGGAATATACATCTCCGCTTACCTCAAAGTCCTTGTATCTTAAGTTTTGCGACTTAGCTGCTTGACGTCATAGATGTGGAGCTTACCTACATTGACCCGTTTTGAAATTCTTTTGTATGAAAAATATGGTTTTATTACATGAAATTACACCAAAATAACATGGATGCTTCCACACTACGCTTTAAACAAACAAACAAAATGATCACTACTTTCACTGAATTGTGGGTATTTTATTCAAATGTGTTCCATTTTTGGTCTACCCGGGTCAGATGTGACCCGGTGTTGCAAAAGGGTCGATAAGTCACGGTGTTTTGGTTTTCAGCAGATGAAATCCTGCGACTAACATTCACACATTCATACACATTCATACACTGGCGGAACAGCCACCAGGGGCAATTCGGGGTTCAGTATCTTGCCCAAGGACACTTCGACACGCAACAAGGGGGAGCCAGGGATTGAACCACTGACCTTCCGATGGAAGGACCCTCTACCTCCGCAGCAGCTCCTACTAACCCAGTTTAAGTTTTAGAAATAAATGTTGCCTGTTCTATGTAAATGAATTTATTTATCTTTGTTTACTCTGTTATTTGTGAATAAAATTCCATCAAATGTTGACCTAGGAATATATATCAGTCTGTCATTATCCAAAATATATATAATAATAATTCCTGCTGGTTTCCTAAAAAAATTGAAAAGTTAATGTAAATGAGGTTTTGAAGTGTAAAATTAATTGGTGATGAGCTGGAATAAAGTTTGCTGACATTGTGTAACACAGAATTGGGTGATCATTTTTTACATTATGCTTTAGAAACAGGCAAACCAGACCGGGTCGTTTTGACCCATAAGGACAACAGGTGTGTATATGTGCTACCATTAAAAATAATGCAATGCTTCTAAAACAGTATCCTGACTCAACTTTGACATATACCAGTCTGTGATAGTCCATCAACTTATAGTCCTCTGATTTATACTCTTAGTCAAGATAACTTAGAGTTTCTGCATTTTTTAACTAAAAAATAAGATAAATTGATTGACCATGAATTCCAAGAAGAAGTGTAAAACTAGTGGTAATGAGTTGGAATGAAGCTGGTAAAGAAAGTGTAACAGAGAAATGGGTGATAATGTTTACATTATGCTTTATAAACAGACCAGGTCAATTTTGACCCGGGAGGACAAAAAGTGGGATTATTTGCAGCCATTAAAAATAATGAAATGGTTTCAAAACACTATCCAGACCAAACTTTGACATATACTAGTCTGTGATAATCCATCAACATATAGTCCTCTGATCTTAACTATTAGTCAAAAGAATTCATAATTTCTGATTTTTTTAGCTTATAAATTTGGTATAGTTTCATAAAAATGAGACATATTGACCATAAATTCCATCAAGAATTGTAAAAATAGTGGTAATGAATTAGAATGGAGTTGGCTAAGAAGGTGTAACACAGAATTGGGTGATAAGTTAAACTGGATGCTTTAAAACCAGGCAAACCGGACCGGGTCAATTTTGACCCGGGAGGACAAAAAGTGCATGGTTGACGGGAAGAGAACACAAGGGTTAAGTAGAGGCAGCATCTTACCAAGTACAGACTCAGTGACCACACCCTTGCAATTGAAAAAGGGAGAAATAAAAAGTCCCAGTTACCAAAAGATGTGAGGTGGAGACAGAGACGCATTTTCTCCTTATATTGGATAAATATAGAAGCATAAGAGAGCAACATTTTGAGAAATTCCATCCACTGATACCAGATTTCAAAGAACTTCAAGATAACAATAATTAAGAATAATCATAGGAGAAGGACATACGGCAAACCATACAACCATAGTATGTGTCACAACCTGAGGGACAGCTGCATGGCATGTTAAGTTTTGTAAGTTCTTGTTTGTGGTTTCTGTTCTATCTGAATTTGTTATTTTTGTTGTTGTAACTTTTAATTGCTTAACTGAATGGTCATGATTGCGTTAATTCTATCAGATTCAAAATTCAAAAGTTTGTGATTTTGCGGCTTTGTCAACATTGTTTAACTTGAACATTCAAGCCAGTAAAGCATGTTGAATAGAATCTGAATTGAACTGAAAAAAGATTCAGACTTCATTTCAGACTTACAAACACACAGATTCTTCAGATGATTTTTCCTAAACTTTTAAATGACACCTTTTATAACCTAATAGTTTAAAATTTAATGCAAGATAAATGTTTTCATTCTTGTTGATGTTACTTTTATAGTTAAAACAACTGAACATTGATAGCATTTCTCTCTCACCAGGGACTGGAGTAGCCACTTCACCATCTTCACCAGTGTAACTCTTCAAGGCATCACTTCTGGCTGAAATACCAGGAAGGTTTCCAATTTCAATAGTGATCTCTGATTCATTTTTAGGCATGTTTTACCTGCAGGAGTTGTACAAAAGTTTTAATGGTTGTTTTGTCTTGGTGCCAGTAGATGATCTGCTTACACAGCAAAGCACTCTTGTTCTTCCTCATTTTTAGATAAAGTCTTCCTTCCTTCCTTGTTTCAAACAACTTCCTGATGTTTATCAGTGACATATGCTACACAAACAAAACAACTTTGTCTGAACAAAACAACTCTGTCTGAACAAAACCCCCAACTTATAATGGCAAGTTATTCAACACCACAAACCACAGCTATCACAAAACAGAACAGATAAACAGCAAGTATAATGTTGGCATGCATACTGTGAGTTAGACCGTGGGAAGCAACTTGAGCACTGTTTTATATTTGTTTGCATTTTGGAAAATTAAGTTTACCAATTTAAATCACAGTTAATTTCTTCACTGATGTACTGACTATCCACACTACTACATTTTTGTTTTAAAACCCAGACCTTTTGCTATTGGCACATCCCTTACAGACTAAAATGGCAAAGTTTTCAAACACTACCGACACTGTTTTCGTTTTAAAACTCTGGGCTAGCGTTTTAGTGCAGACGGGCAAAAATGGAGGATTTAAAAAACAATGATGCAGACGCTTACATTTGGCTTCCTGATTGGGTCTTATAAGTCATGCAAAGAAAAAACACAAATCTACTGTGTTTTAGTTTCGGTATTTTTATTGAAATATTTTGTACTGTGTAAATAACATTTATACATGCTGGTGTGGACGGAGATTGTTTTTGTTTTAAAACTATATTTTTAAACAAAAACAGTATGGATGTAGCCTGAAGAAATCTTAAAACCAGGGGATTTCTTAAGTGTTTCCATTCCTGTTCCAGTACATGCATACAGTGCATTACACTGTGTCCTACACACTGAGCCATGTTTTTTATTTCCCAACATACTCATGCTCACGTTCATGGTTTTTAAGGGGAAATTACATGAACACACACTGTAGGGAAAATATTTATAAATAACCGAAATATCCAATATGATACGTTATGTCAGTCAGAGGCTGTCCAGCCCTACACGCAATTGACATTTTTCATATGATGTCAAGCCACTGTAGCAGACCTTGGCTACGTAAAATTTTAATACAGTTTTGAAAATTAATATTTCCGGAAATATTAATTTATACCTCGAAATTAGGAGCACCACTTAAAGATTTGCTTGTCCGCCCAAGGCTTTAGGTCCTTGAGTATAGCCTGAGAATTATACGAAGTTCTGGTAATTCATTAGTTGTTATTGGTTCAGGTATTCTGAAATCGTAAGGTCAATCAGTCAGTCTCAGATCTGAGCGTAAGTTCTATGTATAGGGACTCTAGATTCTGAATAACACACACACATACATTGCTGTGCTCAAGGTGAATTTATTAACTAACAGAAGAGGGTACAATAGTGGGTAAATGTGGTGATATTACAGGGATAACAGTTAATATGACCACCAGGAGGTACTAAAACAGGTTAGCCTATGTAAGGTTTGATTGAATTTCAGTTACTCACGAGTATGAGGGAACGAATGACCAAAATTGGGTTGCAGATTTAGTTTGACTAATCTAAGCGTTATTAACTGTGGATGGAGCCCCATAGAACACCAACGAGTCACAGAGGGTGTTTGTTTTGCCCTACCGTTGCCGCAGGTCCCGTGGTGAGGCTCGACTGCCGGTTGGCTCGGGAAGTCGGTTCTGGCCCGACCCCAGTGGCGTTTTCAAGTTGGGTTGAAACCGGTGGATTGGGTCCGGAGTCCTCTTGTGGGAAGCGCTTGCAGCAATGGGCTGTCAGCCAAGGCTTTTGCTCTGATCTCAGTTCGTTTGGTGTCGCTATAGCGGGGCCCACTCTGGGTTCTGTCGTCAGAGCCGTGGTTTCATTTATTCAAGGCCATAAATGAAGGCTTCAGAGTTTCTGGTCCAAAGTTGCTCACAATGGTCGGATGAGGTTGCAACAACAAAATCAAATAAACTCACACATTCGCCATAGGTTCGCGAGGCCTCGGGAATATAGGCTATTTAATGTTGCTGAGATTAAACAGGCAGCTCCAAACAGAATAAAAAAAATCAAATCTCCCGCTAAGAAATTTGGAATTCAGGGTCGTAGCTTTCTCAGCTTGTTTGAAGGAGATTTAAGTACGAAACAAAAAAATCGGAATTTCAAAAGTAAAGGAAGTTAAGAGAGCGTATACGTTTAGTTTCAAGAAACAACGTGAACAAAAGACAGCAGGGCCTTTTCTTGATCCCGCTAGCTAGTGTGACGTCAATTTTGGGGAAGGTCTCCCAAACGTCGGTAAGGTGTTAACTAACCTTTAATCTCTCTCTCCACAATATCGACATTTGGAAAAATACTTAGTTCTAAACATTCGGATAAAGACAGTTAAAACAAGGCTAAACACTATGGAAAAAGGTTATAATGGTATATAAAACGTAACAAAGCTTGATTACCTGTCCTCAGTATACTTGCTGGTTATTGGTTTTAACTCAAGGAGACAATTTAGATGTAAGCGTGACAGTAAAATTTCGTTTATGCAATTACATGGTGATAGCTAGGCCTACTTAACAATTCTGTCAGTGTAAGCCGAGTTTTAAACACTTGCGTATTATACCTTTCTTGTCCCCTTGGTGGCGCTCGGGTCACACAAGAAAAGAGTAGACATTCCACTTTAACTGAGAGGCTGGTGATGAACACGAGCGCTTCCATGGATAATTTAGTAGGAAATTGTATATGAAACATTTAACTAAAGCATTAGTTAATACTGAACAGACAGTAACAGGGATGAATTAAGACAACACAGAAAGAGGTTAGAAAACTAGTTCAAGATTACTTTCTTATAGGTCTGCTAGTCTTCAAACATCACTAAAGGATAACAAAAGGGTTATTACTTACTAAACTCAGAGGCAAACACTGCTGCTCACTTAGCAAGGTTATTATTTCAACAGAATAAACACAGTTATAATGGAACCTTGCTTGGTTCAAGAAACGGGGGTTTTTATGGTCTCTCTTCTCTGCATTTCTGGCTTATCGCACCGGTTATCAGAGAATGAAATGGTGGTTTATGGCTCAGCCGTTCTGTGGAGAGAAAAGAGTCAGGTTGAGGCTGGAGGTGACCTGCGGGAGGGAGAAGGGGTCAGATCGCCCCCTTTCCTGTCCTGTGGACTGTCTTTAGTGACACCTTTACGGCTAGAAAGGTTCACTAAGGCTCTTTGAATACACAATCCTTCATTGTCTGAATTCATTGTCTGATTGAGTCTCTTTCGGTCCTTACCAAACACCAGACAATGTCTCTGGGTTTTACATGTGAAAAGGTCAACTCTCGGGGAGGGAAACTTCCCTCTTTTGACACCTCCTGACCTTCTTTGAAGTGCGTCTGGATGAGTTCACAACACCACACATTAATTTTCTCATGCAGTGAAATACAAATGTAATTATAATTGATGAGACTTATAGAGTGAATCTTGATAGTAATCAACCGAACCTGAAATTGACATGTGTGTTTTCTTCAGCCATCTGTTCAAGTTGTAGCTGTCTGTCTGGAGTAAAGATTTGGAAAATTTTCTTGACTGACATTTCCTTCATCATTTTGCCGCTCTGGTTACACACAAACACCGTTGGCGCTGCGCTCAAAGTCATCTGTCAGTCAGTAAATTGGGCAATTTTTGGGCCAGAATCCATCAGCTGGATCTGGCAACACTGGCTGCAGCACATAGTGACAAGACGTCCGCCTGCTGCCTCCCCTCTCCCTTCTAAACACTAGCTACCCTCCAGGCAATCAATGGACATAAAGTTGTTACTGTGATGTAGCGACAGAGCTCAGTTATAACTTTATAGATGAAAGATACATTTGTTACAGATTAATAACTCACCACTCTGAAACTCCAGTCCATGTTGCTAAGCTGGTAAGGGGATTTACAGCTGAAATGAAGCCGTGTTTACCGGATTTTCAGGACCCGCCCTACTCTGCTTCTGTTTGACTAGTAGTACTTAAGTAGGGAATAGGGAGTTCTGAGAAAACCGTGTACTTAGCCTGAAAATTTGAACAAGCACACCTTAGAAGTCCCTCCCCCTTGCTCTCTGCTGCGCTACAGCCCTCCCTCCTCAGCTCCTCCCCCACAGCGGAGCCTGCCGTGAACGCACAGACTAGTAAGCAGGGCCACCAATGAAGGTGGATAAACAACAATGGCACATTCACTGGTATGGACAAAACATCAACGTTATGCTTTACATTGACTATGGCCTGCCCATACTTGTACATATAAACTCCTGAGCACCTCAGCAGAGAGGACATGGCGCGTGTAGAGAATTTAAGATTATAGAGGATTGCTTAAGAACGTGTAAGTTACCTCAGTTATAATTTTTTTCCCTTTGCACATCATAAATTATAATATTGTTCATTTAAATTTTGGAGGCCTATGTAGTATATTGTTAGATGTTTATCTGTGGATAATGACCTTCAGTAACTATTTTTATCTGTATCACTAGGAGTAAATTCACAATTGGATTTACAACAGACATAACAAGTGTTGGAGCAATGTTTGGCATGGGATCCAAGCCTGATTTTTGATGTCCTCAGCCATTTGGGACCTGCTGCTCCTCCAACATTACCTCCTTTTCCCGAGCAACCACCAGTTTGTGGCTTGGCAGTGTGGGGCTCTGGGTCCTGGTCACAGAGTGCTCATCCCAAGCTGCTGTGTGTGGGCAATCTGGGACCTCTTTCCAGATCCTCATGGAAAATACAGGGGATTTATTCTGAGGAGGGTATAGCTACTGTGTGGAGTGATTTCGAATGCTTTCTTGCTGTGTATAAAAATTTTACTTATATATTTGCTTATTTTTGGGGGGTTTAAAAATTTATGTAATTGCTCATTTGTGTCTTGCCAAAGGAGACCTAGCTTTTTTAAATTCAATTAATTTCCAATTTTTATTAGGAAGGTAAAAGGTAGCAGTGATAGTTTGATACAAACATTTACTTCTTACCCTGGCCCCCGCTGACTTGGTTCTCCAATGGCTCCTGTGTCGTGAGAGCTGGCACACCGGACAGCACACCATGCTGAAGTGGGTCATTT